TTCGACCCGGGCTCTTCGCGCTCCCGCTGCCCCTTCGTTCGCCCAGTCTGCCATCGCTCGCGCTGCTCTTGCTCGACCTGTTGTCTTCGGTTCCGCCCAGACCCGATCCTACGCCGACGGCCAGAGCTCTGGTGTCAAGGAGGTCACTGTCCGAGATGCGCTCAACGAGGCTCTCGCTGAGGAGCTTGAGCAGAACGAGAAGGTCTTCATTCTCGGTGAGGAGGTTGCTCAGTACAACGGTGCCTACAAGGTGACCAAGGGTCTTCTCGACCGCTTCGGTGAGAAGCGTGTCATTGACACTCCCATTACTGAGTCTGGTTTCTGTGGTCTCGCTGTTGGTGCTGCCCTCAGTGGTCTTCACCCTGTCGTAAGTATCTCAGCTTCCGCATTGTGATTGCTCGAGATTCTAACCATTGTGCTTCACCAATCTAGTGTGAGTTCATGACCTTCAACTTCGCCATGCAGGCCATCGATCAGATCATCAACTCTGCTGCCAAGACCCTCTACATGTCTGGTGGTATCCAGCCTTGCAACATCACCTTCCGTGGCCCCAACGGCTTCGCTGCTGGTGTCGGCGCTCAGCACTCCCAGGACTACTCCGCCTGGTACGGCAGCATCCCCGGTCTCAAGGTCGTCTCTCCCTGGAACTCCGAGGATGCCAAGGGTCTCCTGAAGGCCGCCATCCGCGACCCCAACCCCGTCGTTGTTCTCGAGAACGAGTTGATGTACGGACAGAGCTTCCCCATGTCCGAGGCTGCCCAGAAGGACGACTTCGTCATTCCCTTCGGTAAGGCCAAGATTGAGCGATCCGGCAAGGACCTGACCATTGTCACCCTCGGCCGCACCGTTGGCCAGTCTCTCGTTGCCGCCGAGAACCTCAAGAAGAAGTACGGTGTCGAGGTTGAGGTTATCAACCTGCGATCCATCAAGCCTCTCGATGTTGAGACCATCATCCAGTCCGTCAAGAAGACCGGTCGTCTCCTGTCCGTCGAGTCTGGCTACCCTGCCTTTGGTGTCGGATCTGAGATCCTCGCCTTGACAATGGAGTACGGCTTCGACTACCTCGATGCCCCTGCTGCCCGTGTCACCGGTGCTGAGGTCCCTACCCCTTACGCCCAGAAGCTCGAGGAGATGTCCTTCCCCACTGAGCAGCTGATTGAGGACTACGCCGCCAAGGTCCTCCGTCTGTAAAAAAGAGAAATGAGGGTTGAGAGAGAATATAGCTTACCTGCTTGAGCATGTCAGGTCGACGCCCATGCCTACGTATTGTGTATGACAGAGCTTGCTTCATGCTACCCATCGTGGCATATGAATTGCGATGCGGATGAAAATCTGATCCAATTGGCGTATTTGATGGACACTTTTTTGATAGACGTGCGGAAGGGAAGGGAAATGTAATTTTACCGCGTGTTGCCATGTATAGTCAGGGCATAGCAGCCGTCTTATTAATGATCTACCAATTCACTTTTGTGCATCCATGATTGTGACCTGTGTTTGAAGTTTGCCGTGTCTTTGCAACAAGGCCTGTTTAATGTCACCGTCCTCTAAGATCACCCTGAAGATCCTTCTACAGTTTTAGAGACTTAGTCATGTCAAACATCTGGATCGAAAAAGTTTTTGGTAGGTATAGGGTAGTCAAAGTGGAGCTGTAAGCTCTCATAAGTGTCCCGCCATGAATGTCAGAATCACCAACGTCAATGGTGGGGCAGTTTTAACTTGGAGCTTTCATCACTTCAATATTCATTTTACCATAACGAATTCAACCTCACAGTTTTGCCTATAAGCTGATTCAAGATTAAAAGGCATGGCTGGTATCGACGCTCTCCTTGAAAGAGGGCCTGAAGAGACCGGTCAACGCCAACCTGCAACTCAAGATCCAGAAGAGCTCAAGCGACACCTAGAGGAGCTCCTCCTCTCACCCTCGCCTGAGTTCTCACCAGAGTGGCTCAACCGACTTCAGCAGCGATGGGATTATGAGGCCGATTACACTTCGCTTTACAAGGTTGCACCGCCGCATACTCGAACTCTCACCAGATTCCAGCGTCATGGACTTGAAGGTCGTGTTACAGGCTACAAGAACGTCACTGTCCCCGCAAACAGTGCCACGGCCAAGAACTCGACAAGTCTGTCTCGAAAGCCTGCCAACCGGGCTGACTTCGTGAGAGGCGCCGCGGGTTTCTTTCCCTTCGCTCCTGGTGGTCTTGAGGGTATCGAAGCAACGGCGGCATTTGAGGATCAAGTTCACACAGGTATTACAGGAGGTGCTACAGAGACTAGTTCTACAGGAAACAAGCTTGAACGAGTGATCCAGCTTGGTGCCGAGGGTGGACTACTAGAGAAGGCTCCTGGAATGAGCAGAGGAATCGACTTCACTAAGAAAAAGACAAGTATCAGCCAAGAAGATGCGAACGCCGTTAAGAAGGTACTCGAAGAAGACCCAGAAGACGCCAAGGTCGACGAAGGTGGTAATGAAGCTTCAACAGACGTTACTACTCCGGATGCAACTCCCGACGAAAATGGTGAGGATGGCGATGATATCGACGACATTCTGCCTGTTGAGTTCCCCGCCCTGGAACCTCATGGAGTTCTTGCAGCCTCGAGTGCTCGCAAGGCCGGTCGCGAGTGGGCGCATATGGTCGACATCAACCATGATATGTCCAACTTCAGAGAGCTCGTACCTGACATGGCTAGAGAGTGGCCTTTCGAACTCGATACTTTCCAGAAGGAAGCAGTGTACCACCTGGAGAACGGCGATTCAGTATTCGTTGCAGCGCATACTTCAGCTGGCAAGACTGTTGTAGCAGAGTACGCAATCGCACTGGCTGCTAAACACATGACGAAGGCCATTTACACTTCGCCAATCAAGGCACTGAGTAACCAGAAGTTCCGCGACTTTCGACAGACCTTTGACGAGGTGGGTATTCTCACTGGTGATGTTCAGATCAACCCTGAGGCTAGTTGCCTCATCATGACAACGGAAATTCTTCGAAGTATGCTCTACCGAGGAGCTGATCTGATCCGAGACGTCGAGTTCGTTATCTTCGACGAAGTCCACTATGTCAACGATTTTGAGCGAGGTGTTGTCTGGGAAGAGGTCATTATCATGCTGCCCGAACATGTGTCTCTCATTCTACTGTCCGCCACAGTTCCGAACACTAAGGAGTTTGCTTCGTGGGTCGGACGAACGAAGCAGAAAGACATCTACGTTATTTCTACACCGAAGCGACCCGTTCCCTTGGAGCATTATCTCTGGGCAGGAAAAAACATCCACAAGATCGTTGACTCAGAGAAGAAGTTCATCGAAAAGGGCTGGAAGGACGCACACTTTGCTATTCAAGGAAAGGACAAGCCGAAGCCTGCAGAGACTACTGTCGCCACTCGTGGAGGCAATCCTCGTGGCAATCAACGCGGTGGTACTCAACGAGGCGGTCCCCAGCGTGGTGGACGTGGAGGAGGTCAACAGCAGAGAGGAGGTAATCAGCAACGTGGTCGGGGCGGACCACCACGAGCAAGCCATGCTCCAGGTCACATGGGTCGTGGGGGTCGTGCTGGAGGTTTCACATCTGTTGCGCAAGACAAGAACCTTTGGGTTCATCTTGTCCAGTATCTCAAGAAGTCAACTCTCCTGCCAGCTTGTATCTTCGTCTTCTCGAAAAAGCGATGTGAGGAGAACGCAGATGCCCTCAGCAACCAAGACTTCTGCACTGCTGCTGAGAAGAGCCATATTCACATGATCATCGAAAAGTCGGTTGCGCGGTTAAAGCCTGACGACCGACAGCTTCCACAGATCATCAGGTTGAGGGAACTTCTAAGTCGAGGCATTGCTGTTCATCATGGTGGACTGTTGCCCATTGTCAAGGAGCTGGTTGAGATCTTGTTCGCCCAGACATTGGTCAAGGTCCTGTTCGCTACAGAAACATTTGCTATGGGTCTTAACCTTCCTACACGAACAGTAGTATTCTCTGGATACCGTAAGCATGACGGACACTCGTTCCGAAATCTATTACCAGGAGAGTACACTCAGATGGCCGGTCGTGCTGGTCGTCGTGGTCTTGATACTGTTGGTTCAGTCATCATTGTGCCACCAGGAGGCTTGGACGATGCCCCTCCTGTTGCAGATCTCCGAAACATGATTCTGGGAGAGCCGTCTAAGTTGCGGTCACAGTTCCGACTGACATACAACATGATCCTAAATCTCCTCCGAGTGGAGGCGTTGAAGATCGAAGAGATGATCAAGCGCAGTTTCTCTGAACACGCCACTCAACAGTTGCTCCCCGAACACGAGAAGGATGTGAAACTAGCGCAAGCAGATTTGGCCAAGGTCAAGAGAGATTCTTGCAAGATCTGCGACGTCTCGATGGACGAATGCCATCAAGCTTCCCAAGACTTCAAGAGACTCACATTTGAGCTGTACAAGGGTCTGCTATCTATCCCCATTGGACGTAGAATGTTCTCTCAGCACCGCCTTGTTGTCTTCAACTGGGACGGCATTCGCTCTATCGGCATCCTCCTCGCAGACGGAGTTAGTAATAAAGGAACGACGGAGGATCCAACACTACACGTATGCGCCATCAAGTCACTTCGAGATCGACGAGATGCTACCGATCAGCTTCCTTTCATCCCTGCATTCCGCAAGTACCTCCACGAACTTCCCAAGAGTAAGAAGCGAGTGCAGACTAAGACTCTTCACGTTCCTCTAAGTGACGTGGAGTGTCTCACAAGATGGGTGACCAAGGGTATTGTTCCTGAGATCTTCCAGGGCGGAGATGGCTATCAGAAAGCGAAGGACAAACTGCAAGAGCTTTGTGGTTCGTGGGACGATCGATGGGAGGAACTCGATCTCTCTCGAATCAAGCAATTGCAACTACAGGAGATTGTGGAGAAGAGAGTTGAGTTGGTCAAGACGATATCGAATTCACCGGTTGAGAAGTGTCCAGACTTCTTGAAGCACGTAAGTTTACCTCAGCCTCCTTGAAAGACCTCAGTACTAACGATATGGACAGTTCGCTATGTGTCACGATGAGTGGCTCATCAAGGATCATATCTCTCAGCTGAAGCAGTCATTGTCTGATCAGAACCTTCAACTTCTACCCGATTACGAACAGCGAGTTCAAGTGCTTAAGGAGCTTGGCTTCATCGATGATGCCACTCGGATCCAGCTCAAGGGCAAGGTCGCCTGCGAGATTCATTCTGGTGATGAACTGGTCCTGACTGAGCTCATTCTTGACAACGTCCTCGCCGACTACGAACCCGCCGAAATTGCCGCTCTCCTTTCGGCGTTTGTATTCCAAGAGAAGACTGACATAGAACCATCCCTGACTGGCAACCTCGAGCGAGGAAAGGAGAAGATTGTTGCCATCTCCGAGAAGGTGAACGATGTGCAGACCAGACTGCAAGTCATTCAGTCTGCTGATGACTCAAATGACTTTGTTTCTCGACCACGGTTCGGAATCATGGAAGTGGTCTACGAGTGGGCTCGAGGTATGAGCTTCAAGAACATCACCGGCTTGACCGACGTCCTTGAAGGCACGATTGTACGAACGATTACACGACTGGATGAGACATGTCGCGAGGTGAAGAACGCGGCGAGAATTGTGGGTGATCCCGAACTATATCAGAAGATGCAACAGGCACAGGAAATGATCAAGAGGGATATCACAGCAGTGGCAAGTCTCTACATGTAAGCCCAGCATGGTTTGGAGTATCTGGCATTTGTACGGAGCGTGCAATATACGTCACGAGCATGTAGGAGAAAAGGGAGTGCGAGTGTCATGTCTAATGTATGATATTGATAAACAATAAAGAAAATTTGCCTTCATTCTCGAAGTTGGAGATGAAGATGAATTTATGTCGCCACCAGAAACCCCAACGCCAAACCTTAACCAAGAAAACGTACCTCTCCGAAAGTTGATCATGATGAATCTGTCATGCCACCCTATCGCATAAAATAATTGGAGTTCAAAAGTGCCAAACAAGGCAAGTCCTGTGACGAGCAGCAAGACTATGCACGCAGGGCTCGAAGCCTCTGCTGGAGCTTATCCTCCTCCTCAGCAGTAGGCTCGTTGGTCTGCTGGGGTTCGGCGTTCGAAGGTGTCGCTTGGTTGAGTTCCTTGCTGAGCTCAAGGCCAGCGTCGTCGGCAAGCTTGCCGAGAAGTTCGTGGACAGCATCCTCGCCGACTTGGGTGGAGGTAGACTGGGTGATGGCGTCTTGGTAGATGCCGTTGGACATGGCGTATTCTTCGTTTTGCTGCTTGAACTGCTCGAGAGTAACGAGGGTCTAGGCTACTGTTAGTGTCGGTCGATATTGTATGGATAACAATGTGCTCACCTTTTCGGGGTTGGTGTTCTTCTGGGCCACATTCATAGTTCGTGATGACTGGGCCATCATCTGTGTCATGCGGTTCATCGAGTTGTTGGCCTGAATCTGCGCAGCAGACAACTCGGCCATATCAGCCATCTGATCCATCTGCTGAGCAAGCGCCTGCTTCGACAGCAGCATCTTGGCCTTCTGATAAGCCTTCTGCGTCTCGCCCTTCTTGAGAAGGTCCTGGATCTGCTTCTTCAGGATGGGGTCCTGCTTGGCTGCCTTTTGGGCCTCGCGGCGAGCCTGCTTGGCTTGGAAGCGAGCCTGGAACTCGACTTGCATGTCGCGGGCCATCTGACGGTTCGCCATTGTAGGTGGTTGGTTGATGGTAGAAGTCGTAGAGGAAGAAGGTTTTTTTTTTTTTTACGGTTGAGGAGTAAAGTTGGAAGAGGTTGTAAATGTCCTGTGAGTGTAAACTTTAGGTAGGCATGGAAGCGCCGAAGGCCTAGAATCGGAACTTGACTTGGCTTGCGATGGGATGGTTGAATGCGGGGCGCCACGAAAGACAGGCTGGAGAAGTGGGCGAATGACGCAACGAACGGCGACGGATAATTTTGGCGGAACTGATAAGGCCCTGATTGTGGCTTTGCACAGCCACTGGAAGAAGGCTTGTTACATTGATCTAGGGTAGTTTTGACCGAAGTCAATCAGCGAGTCCATCAACAACGAACATTGACGGGTAGTAATGGTTTGACAGTAGTGTTTTGCTGACGATCATGGAGATGCTCAATTGACTGTCTCTGGTGCTAATAGTGACCTAGCCATGATATCATACGACCTTTTGAGGATACTGAACAATATGCAGCCAAATTGCCAATCAAAGACTTAATGGCTTTGACACATGTTCGAGTGTATGTTCACCAATAATGCCACATGCACTGCCGTCTTATACAATTTAAGAGATACTTATTAGCACCAGAAGGTATGAATACCGAAAGAATTGGCTATCCCTAGTATAATATTCCACCCAACGAGCTACTATGGCTTAAGCAGTGAACGAGCAACTCGAGCTTCTGGAACGACGCACACAAACACTTACACGAAGGGAGGACCTAAGAGCAGATTCACATTTAGCAAGAACGAACGACTTTCGGCTTAACGATTCAAGATGCGATGGTTATTGAAACGACGCTGAAACATCGCCTCAGGTTCGGTGACTTATACGCTTCGTTGGGCTATAATTGTTTCAAGATATAAAGTTGCTACAACATGAGATCATTCTAAAAATACTGGATATGAAACATGGACTTCAACGGCCATTGGCGAGTCAATGGCAGGATTCAGCTACCAAGAAACAACAAACGACAAACGTCAGTGACCTCAAGGGAACGAGCATAAACTCTATGAGAAGCCGTAGGACTGAGGATGCCATTCAAGAGCAGCGGCCGTTGTGACATCCCCAGGGCGGCCGCAAATTACTGGGCCCTCGGTATGTGGAAGTTCTGTTGCAAGAATCGAGACATGGTAATGAGGGTCGTTATAAGACCGGCCCAGAGATATCTTGACAATCGGCAGTTCGGGTTGGGTGATAAGCATTAATATCCCACATGCCGATTTGCGCGTCGCCGCGTACTACACATTTCGTTGCGCAACAAACGAGTAATTATCCTGAGGAGTCCAAGCTTGGACTTGCTGCGATCCGAGTCTGTTTCTCACTCAATGTCTGGTCCTAGTAACGCTTGGTTAAGGGGCGGCGGGTGGTGCCGCAGCGGTCGCACGCGAAGAGGCTGGGCGAAAACAGCGGTTGGAAAGTGATCAATGCTGAAGTTTTAGCTGATGAGACTTGACTCAGGCATGGGGATGAGATTGGAGATGAGCAATTCATATAGGACATGTCTGATCGTGAGAGGAAGTGGGTTCACTGTGCTTCCGTCGTCTTCTGATACTAACAAAAGTACGGGGCGGCCAACCTGACGCAATGGGGAACGCGTCGAATATGAGATGAGATTCTTTGATAGGACATGGCATAAGTCAGAGATGAAGATAATATTCGATACGGCCCCGGCAATAGAGCACAGGTTTGAGATTAATTAATTGGTTCAATTAAGCTCAGATGAGCCCGATATTGCAAACCAGGGGTTACGCTACGTTTTGGAATGAGAATCTCCACCAGCTCCTCTTGCGTCCAGACCTTCAATCACTGGCGCGCGAATCTATGGTCTGACTATGGTATGGACTATATCTCCGGCGGAAGAACTATCGTGGGAGCTAGGGACGAGAGGCGAGCTGGACAGGCTAAAAGGGATAGACTATCGGCATCCTTGGGTTCGAGGGATCAGGAAAGGGGGTTCTTTGACTATCAGGGTCGAACGATATCTCTGACGGGGCAGTGAACGGGAAGATCACTTACAGTGAAACATGGTGCTCCTGAGACATGACAGAAACGAGGGCGGAGGCAGAAGAGGTTGAACGTTTCTCCCTGCGACTTTAACCGTTGGCATGTCTCCCCCTTCCGTGTCTCAAAGAGGGAATCCCTTGGACTGAAGTGAAGTGATGGGATGGGATGGGCGGCTGGTAGATTCGCCTAGATCCATCCCCTTCCCTCCCGCTCGAGACGGGCGAGATCTTGTCTTGTCTTGTCTCGTTCAGTTCAAGTCTCGCCAAGAAAAGGAGCCCCATTTCGTAGCGAGGTCCCAGCTGCATGGCATTGGCATTGGCAGGTCTCAGTCTCTCAGAGAACTAAAGTAGCGTTCCATTCCAGGTCGCGGGGAGGCGATCCGTAGCACTACAAGGGAGCTCGACCGAAGAACCTGTGAATTGGAGAATGGAATCGACCATCTTCACGAATGAGAAAATCTGCATGTTCCATCCCAATTCGGCATTGAGGCTTGAAGACCCAAAGCTGAACTCTACTTGAGACTTTGATTCACGGACCTAACAATCCCAGCAATCAAGGGAGCTCAACAAAACCGACAGTCCAGAGGTCAGTTCACCGCATCTACAGACAGGTATCTCGGCAGTGGAGAATCTGGTGAGGGGATTCGCGATTATATCGCCAATCTTAATGCATATCAGACCAGACCGACTTATCAAGGTTCATTGTTACATTCATCGCTTGATAGTTTGTCCCTGCGTAAGCTGAACTCAAATGCAAAGCTTGACGAAAAGTAAAATAGTTCTGAAACTGGTAGCCTCAAGACTAAGCTCTGAGAGCCTGACGATCTCAGCAATCAAGGAAACAGAGCCAAGATGAGCGACTGTCGATGATGGCAAGATGGGGGCATTTGGTGGATAATATGGAGGCCTTGAGATTCCGGAGCCAGCGAAACAAATGGAGGAGGTGGTATTTTGGTGGATGACGGATGCGTCCCCGGCAGGGCCGGCGGTACAATAGCAGCAACACCAGCAGCTTAGTTAGCTTCAGGCAGTTCTTTTCTTGGAACACACACGAGAGAGCAAACTCCACTTGATGAGGCGTCAGCCAGCGTCAGTCAGCGTCAGCCCAGCTTCTAGGTTGGGCCATGACCGCTTATACAAGAGACGACGTCGTCTTACGAAGTGTGCATACAAATGCTTCGTTACGAGTCTCGTCTGTCACGTAGCAGCAGCAGTAGCAGTAACACCGATAATGTTCCCTGAGGCGCCGTGATATTGTTTCCGTTGTTTACGAGGCTTTCACTACAGGAGGGGTCACGATAATTACTGAGCTGTTCAATTGGCCTGTCCATCATTTGCTTTGAGTTTGATGGTTGATTGCAAAGAGACCCTCTGCCTGAGGGTTATGTTGAGCTCCCTTTGGCCACATACCAACGGACCCCAAAGAGCTGATGGCTTTTCAACACCGCTTTCTCTCTCTCTTCTCCCTTGGCAGCCATCATCGACGATAACGAGAGAAATGATGATGCCCTGCATGAATAAACTTGAGTCTGTGGATTTTCTCCCTGCGTGGCTTGGGTGGATTGGTGGGTTTGGTGGAGAGCTGACAATAGCTGACTGTGTACGAAAAACTAAGGTAAAAGCCTAGGACTCTCCATATCGTGAGCGCTGGGCAGAGGAATTACAGTGGGAGGCACCTAGAATTGTGTGGTTGTCGGATCCATTCCTTCGACCTCCTTCGCCCATTTTCCTTTGGTGTATCCATTCTTTGAGATCTCGTCATTGTGCAGAACAAGACGCCACGGGGGAAACAAACATGCTATAGGGCCATGCTAAACTCTGTAAAGTGTGAATAACTACCTACGGAATAGAGTTGATGAAAGCCTCTTGTTGAGTTGATGATGTAGATCCATATCAGTGGTTATTACCAAGAAGAGGGGATCACGACATTTCAATAGCCTTTTCTCCTCCATGGGAATGCACGGGCTGCACCACCCACAGGGAGAAATGGCTGAAGCGTATTCATGAGAATCGTCAGTTTTTGGGCTTATCTTACGCAGGTATTATTACATCTCTCTCGTTCTCTAAAATTAAAACCACCAACACGGGGTCTGTGGTTTGTTACACGAGCCTCATCAGCTTTTGAGTTATTGATCGTTATTCTCGTGCATCCACCACGAGTACCGAGTACAATGTCTCCGCAATGGATCATCGCACCATCCTCAAAATGAGGCACAAGGAGCTACAAGGTCCGTCACCTACTGAACAAAGAACGGCGTTTCTGGCACCGCAGGCTCAGTGCTCCGTCAGGCCCGTCAACTAACTAACGGGCGGACTGAACCCAAGGTCTCACGGCCTCCGATTGATCAAACCCCTTTTTTTGGAAACTCGAACGGTCGATGGGGCTCCGTACAGGCCCGGACAGCGCTGTGTCAGATCGTATTCCGCCAATGAGACCTACGGCATGCGCTGTGGGGGAGATTCCTAAGCCCCCCTGCAGTCGAGGTGCGTGTCGCTCGGTGGCGTAACTTGCGCCCCCTGAAAGCCTGTTCCAGGAGGGGCCGGGTAGCGAAGTGCACCAGTGCATCCCGGCACCAGAAGGGTCCTATCCGAGAGCACCTTCCCTCTTTAGGCTCGCAAAACGACTTCAGGGGGTAGTCTTGGTACCCCATCTCAGGGGTTGGTGCCTCAGGCAGTTGCATCTACCGAGCCGTGCCCCTCCAAACTCTCAACGTGTCCTCAAGAGATAAAGAGGGCCTGCCCGCTCCTACCAAGTTGACCTTTCCATTCCCAAACCGACAAGCACCCAGCAATTAAGGTCGCTAATACAGAGTGAACACCTGTCCTCTTCCTCTTGAAGCTCCTTTCCACATCGTCATCACCATCACCTGACCTGACTCATAGTTGATCAAGGCAGACGTAATCAAAGTCTAGTCACTGACTCACACTTTGGCCAAGTCTTGTGATGGTGGAACATCGCTGCCTGCGCCTCATACATCTCTAATAACAGCTACTTATCCCCATAATATCCGTTGCTGTATCTGAATTTCAGACCCAATTCCAGATTCTCCATCCAAACAAACCACACACCTAATCACACACAAACAAACACAAACATGGAGCAACAAGGGTCACCAGCTTCCCAATTCTTCCAGTCTCCAGCCGAGTCTCTCATGTCAGCTCCTGAAGATGCCTACACATCACTCTTCGCCGCTACCACCCCTAGCGCAGCTTCAACAGTGAACCCCATGGACATGTTGACACCAAAGTCCTACAACGATGACTCTCTACTACCGATGATCAAGCAGGAGGAGGGCGTTGCATCAACACCAAGCCCTTCTCCAGCCCCTGAGAAGAAGACCACCAAGAAGAGAAAGTCATGGGGCCAAGTCCTTCCCGAGCCCAAGACAAACCTCCCTCCTAGGTATGAACCAACGACAACTGAAGATGATGTCACGAACGGTTCCACTAACTCCCCACGCAGAAAGCGAGCCAAGACCGCTGATGAAAAGGAGCAACGCCGAGTTGAACGCGTTCTACGGAACCGCCGCGCGGCCCAGTCCTCTCGTGAACGCAAGAGGCAGGAGGTTGAGCAGCTCGAGAAGAGGAACAAGGACCTCGAGGCTGCCATTCAACAGGCTGAGCAGATGAACGCCCGGCTCATGGATGAGCTTGCACAGATGCGAAAGGCGAATGGTCTTCCCCCTCTGTCACAGGAGCTCTTCAGCCCCCAAACAACACACCAGCCAACGGAGACCACGGTGTCTCCCAACGCCACCGTCGACCCCATGGCACTATCCCCCTGCCTATCACCCGTCCCCGAAGAATCTGAAGAGATCCTCCAACAGGAGCCGGCCAAAGAGACAATCCTGGAACAGTCTGAAAACACTTCTCCCGACCTGACACAACGTCCTGCTGCGATGTTGTCCGACCTGCAGTGTCACATGTCGGCGGAGGTGTCGAAGATGTTCCAGTCCCAGTCACCCACAACCTTGACTCAGCCAACATTGGCCTGGCTCCTGCCACTTCAGATGACACTCTTTTCAGCTGCGGTGGTTCTGAATTTCTGTCAACGTCCCTTGACACAGATCGCTATCTCATTGAAAGCGGGCATCTCTCTTCACCCTTCTCCTCAGCTACTGACGAGCCTTATCTGGACTTTGACACGTCCCCGTTCAATCTCGACAACAGCTTCAACGACGAATTGTACAACACCTTCATCAACGACACCGACAACGGCATCACGGCAGAGCTCCAGAAGCCAACCGACGACGCCGCTGCGATCCTCAGCGACGAGTTCCGCTTCTACGAACTTGAGAATCAAGTCTCTTCGGAAAATCCTATCCAGCAGCCCCTCCCTGGCGCGTCCTCTAACGGATGCGACGTTGGTGGCATTGCGGTTGGTGTCTGAGGGACGCGATGACAGGGTCGAGAAGTCGGAGCGCGAGACTGAGGATTCGCGCGGCCAAGACGAGTTGGTAAGGTGTTTCTCCGAGATTACTTTGCCGTCGCGTGAACTATTGTTGACACTCCTCTGGGCCATCCGCACAGAGGAGGCCCGAATTCAGCGTGAAGCTGGCGAGGTCCTCGACCCTGAGACTCGCTCCCCACTACGTGTAGATCAACCAAGCAAGAAGGCTGCTTTGTCAGTGATATTGGAGGAAGAGAACAATCGGGTACAGACATTATGAGAGTTATATCCATGATGATCTACCGTAATGTGATAATGTTTTGATTTGGGAAAAAAACGGTGCAAGGCGCAAAGGATCAATGTCCCAGGGGGGACTGGCAATAAAGCCCATCAGTTAAATCTTTTGTGTAACAATACAACGAACGCTCAAAGAAGCGTATGACCAACACTATCTGTTCTATTCCCGTGATAATTGCCTTTGCCTTGAATGCCGACTTGGCTGTTGCCTCAGTTTGTGATACTCATTAAAACGATATTGACACTCAATCTTCAGTTGTCTTTCAGCGTCAAGAGACTCCAGAGTCCAGTATGGATGCGAAAAAGAGGAGGTAATGTTGAAGAGTATTAGCGCACTTGATTAACTTGTTTAAACTTCGCTGAGGATTGTTCTTATTCGAAGTCTTTCTATTTCTTTGACCACCGTGACATCTGTAAGACTCTGTTTTCCGTGCAGCTGCCAGTATCATCTGAAGTTGAGCAATCATATATCTCGAGATCGGTAACCTAGAAGCAAGCAATACTCTTGATGAATAACATTTGATTGGCAACAAGATTAATTGATTGTTCAATGACATGCGCCGACGACATAAAACTCGCGCTTAACTAAACGCCCAACGCCAAACTATCTTGATATCTTTTGCAGCATTACCATAACCCATCCATCTCTTGCATAGCCGCCTCTTCATCATCAAAATTATTCGTCTCCTTATCTTTCGACCCTTGCCCCTTCTCTTTGCTCGTCTGATCATGGCTCTCAGCTTCCGCCATGAGAGCATCTAGGTCATCGTCATCTGGCTCTGCTGGTGTAGGGTTTGTTCTCGCTCTCGGAGCTGCATCGTGACTTGCTGCCTCGGCGATAAGAGCCTCGAAATCATCATCTTCTGGAACGTCGTTGCGGATGGGGACAATTGGTCCTGAATTTCGTTGTGCAGCTCGTGGTGTGGCATCGTAAAGATCGTCATCGTCTGGCACGCCTGTGTCTTGCTCTGGTGTTTTTGGTCTTGTACCCTCCTGCTCTGTAGGTTTTGATGCATCGTTTTCACCAAACATGTCGTCCTCTTCTTCGTCGTCTGCAGTTCTATCTTTGGGTTTGCTTTCGTTGATGTAATCGTTTCGTGCAATCATGACTCGTTTCTTGTGGCCCGCCTTTTCGACCATTGTAAGGGCGTCGAGGAATTTAGCTTTTGGGAAGAGGTCGTCTAGCCATAGTTGGTAGAAGGATAGTAGTCGAGAGGCGTCAGAGAACTGAACTGACCGTTAGTGTGTTTCCACTGTGCTAATTGGCAGATGGTGACATGCTTCATGGCCTTTGCCTTTAATCTTGAGATCCTTCGCCCTTTGTCTTAGCTTGGGAATACCCTTTGGTCCAAGTAATCTACATAATGTCAGTATCACTTGAGACCACGCAGTATTATATTTCCGTACCTCTCTTCGTCGAGTTTCACATTGGGAACTCGCGCCCTCTTCTTGACATCAATCTCTTCATCAATACCAAGACCAGAATCTGGCTCTTTTCGCTTCTTGTTGGCCGCTTCGGGTGGTGGCGATGCAAATGGATCGTCAGAAAAGTCGTCAACATCGTAGTTATCAAGCCCGTTGGCGGGATCTGAGTCTAGTGTAGGCATCTTGTCTTGTGGTTATATAAAAAGATCTTGAGAATCTGGTGGACTCAATGCTTAACGCGTCTTGAACTGGGGAGACGCGTCGAGAGCTTAATTGATTCTCAACCCCACCGATCTCCACGTGACCAATCATCGCCAACTTCGATGGGCTGACCAAAACACGTGATAAGTATCCTCAGGCATCCACTCCGGCTCCAGCTTCTGAATGTACCGAAACCGACGACCTCGAAAGGCTTTGGTGATAATATTCAAGGAATTGACTGCCACGGACGACGCATCACACAATGGCTGAGACAGCGACAAAGCAGTCGACCCCGTCCTTTGTCGGGACCAGCAAGGTCGTTCAGACCGAGTATCCCGTAAGTGACGCTTCAATTAATGGAGCAATTGCAGTTGCTAACTGATGATGTTATAGCTCATTGACAACGATCCGTACGTAACCTGAGCCCCTCCGATACCCAGCGACGACGATACGAATGAAATGGAATGCATTGGAGAATCGAATTGCTTGGATTTGGGTTGGATTGGGTTGAGCTTTGCTGATCCTCGGCAGTCACTTCAAGCGAGTCGTGGGTTATGCCCGTACATCCGATTACATCGCCGGCACCGTCGCCGCTGCTTTCGCTCCCGCTGCTCTCTACGCCCTCGAGAAGTTCGCTCCCTCACATGTAGGCAAGGGTGGTTTCCCCAAGGCCATGCGACTGGCTGGTGGTGTTGGTCTCTTGGGTGGTTTCCTCTACTTCTACCAGCGATCAGCCCGTACGTTTACAGCACCCGGAGGACATTGAGTAACTGAACTAATCTGAATAGTCCGATTTTACGGCGCCACCGAGAACGCCCGCGAGATTGAGATGGATATGCGCGAGATGGTTGATAAGGTTAAGAAGGGTGAGCCTCTATATGGCGTTAGCCGGCTAAGCCCTCATCTTCAGGGTGTTGCTGCCCGACAGAGCAGATACTCTGCTCTGTTCCTTAGCACGATTCCTTGGTTCAACTTTGTCAACCATAACCAGCATGGTGTCGACACGGCCAAGTACTACCAGCAGGCTGAGCGGGAACTTGAGGCTGAGCGCTCGTAAGAGAGGAGGGAAATTAAGATTTACGGAGAGCGAGAGGAGGATTGGATGGGAAAAGAGGTGTATATTACCAGCGGAGGTGGGCATTGCCTCGACGGCCTGGCGAGTTTATTTGTGAGATGGAAATAGATTCCTTGAACCAATCTTTTGTGCCATGTTGGTGTTTTTATGATGACCTTGACGATTTAGGCTTGAAAGAAAGAACGTAAGTTGATAGCTTAAGCATCTTGTTCTACAAGGAATGAGCTGCGGTGGACTGAGTTGGCCTTGTCTATGTCTGCTACTGAAAAGTCGTGATACGGTACAGGCACGTAGACCATGGACAACCATAACCCTACGCCTCATGTTATGGACTGCCACTACCAGAGTCTCATCCTCTTCACATTATTCTCACAGTTTGAAGATGAGATGGATGTTTGCTACTTGAGATATGCTATGTCCGCTTAACGCCTGTTCTAGTGAGAGATAGCCAGGTCAACTTGACTGGTTCGCTTTCCATTTGCACCGGAGATACGGGCCAAGCATACAAATATGGCAAGAGCCTATTCTCACACTAGTTATTCGTATATAAGAGGTCTATTCGGTGTCTGAATGTAACATTCTTATTGCAAGTCCGTTCAATTCCGCCCAAGTCCGTCCCTCATGATCAGTTGCTGTCGGGGACCGGCCAACTCCGTCTCTGGACCACATGCTCCTGACCAATCAAAGCTCGTGTAATCGACGTTTCTCCCAAAGAACACAGATTCAATCCGTAACAGCTTCCCAAAGTGGAACACCAAGAAAAGAATTTTTTTTGTTTCACTGAATCCTCATTTTCTCCTTTTTCCTCATATATATTCTGCTGCGGGATCTGGATAAATTGAGGGCTGATTGTGGTGTCGACATCTGCTTATCTCACCTGTCAACGTATCTCAGTCATCTATACGAACTACCCTACAAAATGGCGTCAGCAGAACAATCCATGGATCTCCCCGTGATTGACCTCGATGTCTATCTAAACAACCCTCTTGACTCAGAGGCCGTTCAAGAAGAGTGCAGAAAAGCAGCCAACGCCCTCATCACGTACGGTGCTCTCGTCCTTCACGACAGCCGAGTCTCAGAGGAGGATAACTCAACTTTCCTCGACATTCTTGAAGATTACTTTGCTCAACCCGAAGAGGTCCTCAGAAAAGATGAGAAGCCTGAGCTGAGCTATCAAATTGGTGTCACATTAGAGAACACAGAAAAGCCCAAGTGTGCTGTTGATGAGCCATGCCTCGATGTTATTCAGAGACTCGACCCTTCACAAAGACCGTTAGATATCTCAGCTCACTCACCTGATCCCAAGTGCAGATTCTTCTGGAGAATGAGCGAGCAACCGCCTTTTGAGACCGAGTTCCCTGGATTGAACGCCCCGAACGTGGTCCCTGAAGCCCCTCATATCAGAGACCGATGGGAGCCAGCCATGGACCAGTGGGGGACGTCTATGAAGAGCGCGTAAGTCCCCGAGCTTCCTTCTTTTGAGCCCTCGAGTGCTGATCAATGTCATAGTGTATCCAAGTTGGCAGAGATGACCGCCGTTGGTCTAGACCTACCAGCTCAGTTCTTCAGCGATGCTGGAAAATACGGGTAAGTTCCCTCACAATATCATAGCAGTCGCCCAAACTCACGTGCGTAAACAGACCTCACCTTCTTGCCCCAACAGCCTCAGACCTGGTCAAGTACGGCGAGAAGAACACCATCTTGGCCGGCTTCCACACAGATCTCAACTTCCTCACCATCCATGGTCGCTCCCGCTACCCTGGTCTTCACATCTGGGCACGCAACACCGGAAGCCGTATCGCCGTCAAGATCCCACCAGGAAACTACCTCCTTGTCCAAGCGGGCAAGCAGATTGAGCACATCACTGGTGGACTCATCAAAGCTGGCTTCCACGAGGTTATTGTGAATGAGAAGACCATTGAGACCATTGAGAAGAGGAAGTGTGACTTCCCTGACAGACCTCTGATCAGAATTTCGAGTACTCTGTTCTGGCATCTTGGTAGTGATGTCGATCTCAACCCCGTTCCCAAGCTCGTAGCAAGGGCAAAGGAAGTGCGAGAGCGACAGAAGGAGCTTGGAAGAGATGAGGGACGAGAGGTTGAGTATCCTCCCATGAAAGTTGGACACCAGGTGCAGGAGTATGTCAGCCCCCCCAGCCACTGACAATAGAAGCTAACTATGACTTAGGGAACTGAAGCACATTGCTTTGATGGCTTAAAGCGAAACTACTTAGCGAAGAGCGATGATTTATGACTTGAAGATCTCAAAGACGACTTGTTATGAGGACTGGATACAGGCTGTGGGATGAGGCTCATTTGTGTTGAACTCGCATGAAACCCAGCTGTAGATACGCCTTGTTTGACAGTTGCTCAGATATGAAAACACGAAGGCCTTGTGTGCTACTCGTCTCATCACACGTACTTCTCTGATTGTATATTGTCCGCTCTGTATTCAGTTCCCAGAACACAGTGCAACGGATCGTGCACGTACACCATGGTATGCTACTTACACCAGTGTCACCTGGCACATCCCAGACATGTACGCCTTCGGTAAGTCGAATCTCAACAACTCCGAGAAGCCGGGCTAGGGACTGACGGGCCTCGACATGGCTGTGTAGTTTGAAGTCGGGGCGACACGTCTTTACGAGACATCACTTGCAAGGACAGGTCAGGCATATCAAACAGAACATCATGTTATTGTTTTCTTGGGTATCTTTCAGATCCTCCTACGTTCACTCAACATACTGACATTTTTAAGTAGCCAAACTCTTCCATACCCTTTCAAGTCTCCTTCTCGCGGGGAAGAGTAGTCTCAGGCACCTTGCCGCCCTCAGATCCACCATGATCAGAACCAGTCTCCTCAGGCACGGCATTTTGGTTCACAGTTGTGTCATTGGCAGCAGGAGGGAACTCCTCACGCCAGAAGTCCTTCTTTCCGTGAGCAAGTCGGTTCAACCAAGGGGGCAAGAAACCACCGGGAATGCGCCAAGTCCAGCCGTCTCTCTCCTCATAGTTGGGAGGCACGATACGACCACCGGAAACAACCTTGATGACCAAAACGACGGTGTTGATCAACATATATGTGCAGATACCAGCAATCAGACCATCGGCAATGGAGTACGCAAAAGGCATGATGGCAATGGTGAGGAAAGCAGGAACAGCATCACCCATGTAACGCCAGTTGATCTCAGTAACCGCGCCAACCATCATAGAACCAACAAGAACGAGAACGCAGCCGGTGGCCCAAGGAGGAATGGAAGCAAAAATCGGCGCAAAGAAGATGGAAATGAAGAAGCAGATTCCGGCAACCATGGCGGTCAAACCAGTCTTTCCACCCTCGGAAATACCGGCACCAGATTCGACAAAAGCAGTGACGGGGGGAACACCGAAAACAGCGCCAATGGAAATGCTCAGGGCGTCGACCATGTAGGCAATCGAAGAGCCTTCAAAGTCCTGGGTAACGGGATCGACGAGGTTGGCGAAACGAGCCATACCATACAGTGTACCAGTACAGTCCAGGATGTCGACATACAAGAAAGTGATGAGTGCAAGACCGAACTGGCCGCTGTGGCCAGAAATGTTGAACTGGAGGACGTTGAGGGTGTGCTTGATCTCATGGAAATCGACAACCTTCTTGAAGAAGCTGAATCGATCGTCGCCAAGGGTGTCGTAGGGGAAATATGACACAGGAGTGTCTCGTGGCCAGGAGATGATGCTGACAAGAAGAATACCAGCAATGATGGCACCTTTGACACGGTACATCATGAGCAATACGGTGAAGATGCCGCCACAGAAGATACCAATCCACAGGGTAGGGCTTCTCATCTTCTGAGAGGAAGGGCACAGACCGGTGTCAGGGTCCCGATATTGCGATTCACAACCTGCGAGTTCCATAGGAGTGGAAACGGCACCAACAATCAGACCGATACCCTCGCTATAAGTGAGACCAATGAGCGTCAAGAAGAGACCGATACCGACACTGGTGGCGAGCTTGATACAGCGGGGGATGGCGCGAGCAAGCCATTGACGCATACCGAAGAGAGCAAGACCGAAGAAGATGAAGCCTTCAATGAAGATGGCTGTAAGGGCAAGCTCATAAGGGACGGGGCCAGAGCCGCTGGGACCAACGACGGTGTAGGTGAAGTAGGCGTTGAGACCCATACCAGGAGCGAGACCGACGGGAAGGTTGGCAAGCAGGCCCATGAAGAAAGTAGCCAGAGCAGAAATGGCAGCGGTAGCAGTGACAGCATCACGCTTGACTTCGGCAACACACAGCTGGTAGGCTTCGTCTGGGACGCAAGCACCGTCCTTGTAAGTAGGGCAAATACATGGACCACCGGATTCAGAAACAATCGAAGAGTTGACAGCAATAATGTAGGCCATGGCAAAGAAGGTGGCGAGACCAGCTCGAATCTCAGTGAAGAAGAGAGAGCCCTTGCGTTCGCGAGGCTAATTGGAGAGAGCATTAGCTGTGAAGTTGACATCGGAGGTGGCCGATTTGACTTACATGACCCGAACCCTCAAGCTGGAACCAACGTCCAACAGGACTGGCCGCAATCTTGCGGTTGGTCTTGTCCATCCAACCCATCTTGAAGATTGAGTTGACAATGACTATGTGACAAAAAGGTATTCAAAAATTGAGCAAAACCCAAAAGCCACGGGACAAGTGTGATCGGCGTGCTGCGAAGCTCGAGATTGAAAGTTGAATTGACAGACGGGAGGCAGCTGTCTTTAACTAATGGCGATCCCAAGCGTTCGACGAATGTCCTAGACTCTTTTACAGTTAGCTCCTGTATTGGCCAAGTCTAGACAGATAGATAGCCAACGGTATGTCTCCGATAAAGAGGGTCGGAGGCGGCCGAGGAGGCTAATGGAGGGACAACGGAGGTTATGTATGTGGTGGGATAGGCAATGGGGGTCCAAGCCCAGATATCTTAACTGGGGGAGATAAGAGACTGGGGAACTTGGGAACTGGGGTTTTAGGGATTGGGTGCATGTGAACAAGGGTGTATTGGCGCAAAGTCCAAAACTATACATAGAAGAGGTTGTACATTGATGCGCAAGGGCGACAAAAGATCCAGGGAAGGCAATGGACTAGAGACTTACTGATGGACGTACAAAAGAGGCGTCGGCTGGTATACCTAGTACGTGGTGCAAGGCAAGCCGTAATGTAATGCAATGCGCACGCAGTGTATGTATCTGCAGATGCAATTGACGGCTGAAATAGGTAGGCCAAGATGTGACGGAAACGTAAAGAGTCCCGATCGCAATCTGTCGAGTAGTAGAGGGTGTAATGCGACGACGGACGAATGTGCCGTATCGGGGAAGAAAATAACGTCCCGATATCAAGGGTCCGATGGGAAGGTCCAAAGAAATACTCGAGCCAGAGCAAAGATATAAGCCCTAGCAAGGTTGATCAAATAAAGCTCGGAGCAGTTTCTCTGTTTCTGTCATGCGCTTGGAGCCAGCGTTGAACTTGACTTGCAGCTGGTGAAAGTTCTAGAGTTTGCGCGAGAGACCCGGGGGAGACGACGGCGAAGAATAGGACGACAGAGAGATGTCAGTGGTACATACAGTTCAACCAACCCTTGAGAGGTGAGCAAAGCGTTGCAGCCAAGGCAAGAGGTGATTCGCGATGATGCGCGAGGAAAAAGAGAAGAGAGCAAATTTGCAGATGGCAAATTCGTGATAGTACCAGTTGCCCAGTCTCCGGTGAATGGGCAGCTGCTTCCTCGAGATGCTCCGCAAAAAATTGAATGGCAAGAACGAATCGGCCGAGGCACTAGATTCATCTCAGTCGATTTTTGGCCATTGACCCCGGTTTTTTCGTCCTTTCAAAAATTTTGCTGCCATTGTTGAATTTCCGTCCGATTAAACCCTTACCCAAAACGTCGTCGCCTCTTGGCCCAGCAGCCAACGAGCAGTGCCAGAACAACTGCCCAGGAACCGCAAAAGAGGATGCAAGCCATTGCGCGGGTAAGGTGGAGTTCGATAGCGATAGCGGCGGCGCGGGTACAACGCCACCCAGAGACGAGCCGCCCATTCAGAAGACTCGAATTTGCTCCTAGCTCTTTGTTCTCCTCCGTTCTAACGGTATGGAGTCACTGTAAGTCACTAGCAGGCTTCGAAAAAAGGTGGAGCGGACTGTGCGAGCGAATACTAGCCGCGTTGTGGCTTGGACCATGTGGTGCCATGTTGTAGCTCAAAAGTATTCAACTGCAAGCATCCGCTGTTTTGATGATGATGATCAAGCGGCTCCAGCAATTGTAGTTCACGTGGGACTTTGTTTCGTGCGACGAGGAGGGAAATGACTCGAAAGTTGAGCACAGCTTGCAAAAGACACAATGCACAGTTACAATATCGGAGGGTCCAATTTGAATGGTGTAAGGATGTAGGATCGATCTTGTGCTTATCTGCTTTGTTGGTCTGTTACACATGGCAACACGGACGAGCTGAGACAGCAAGCATGGCAATTTCAATGGTTCGAGGTCAATGTGGATGGATGGAGCTGAACATCTTTAGAACAGGTCGGGTAAGCACCTTTCTTCTAGAAGCCGGCGCAATGCTGTGCTCTTCTATTGCGCCTTGAACTATAATATTGGCGCTTTGGTGCTGCTTCTTGGTTCATTGCGACTGTTTCGCTTCAAGATGTGAAGTTTTTGCGGTCGCTGTTAGCACGTTGGAAAAGCTTCTCACCGTCTTTAACGGAACGGGCGATTGATTCAGCTTGTGGCTGATGACCTTCCTAGCTTGGATGTACTGTCGCGTGCTGCGCCGGTGCTGAAACTTTGATACACCGTGCGCAGTGTGTGGCTCACTAATTGAATATTGGCCTGTGCTCACTCGTCGATAAAGACCCTGGAGGCATGTCAAGTGTGATAAGCGCAAAAGATAACGGACCAAGAGCCCCAGAAAAGCGCCGTCCTCCGAGCTTTATCACCTATCCGAGTTTCGCCTGCTAACAGTTTTTAGTGAACGAAACACTGGGAGATTGATGATCTTTAATTAGCTATCCAGGGCCGAGAGTTGTTCCGGTAGCGGTGGGCCGGAAGTCTGCGACCTGTATTGACGCTGGTCACCGAAACTCAGTTGAATGTGTGTCTGTATCATTGCTATCGTGACTCTCATCGTGATGTTGTTAATCACGATGCAATGCATCAATAGATCGCCGTAAAGGCACAAGCTCCCAAAATCATCACAGCTGAATTGAAATAACTGTTGATGTCTTCCAGGGTGTCTCAGTCACTGCACCTCGGACTTATTCTGGTGTTCTCGTGCCTCTATTAACATAACGTTACTCTGCCCAGTTTCGCCCTTGCTTCGTGCAACAGCAATCGAGCTGAAAGATGAGCGATGCTACGTGTTCATGAGACAGTCAACAAAGAGATATTGACCCAAATAACGCCGTCTTTTTAGAATTACTCAGGCCTAATAAAAGACCCAGCACAAAACGTGCATCTTTGGCTCAACATGGAGTTCTTTGAGCGTTCTGAGTTGCACAACATGAACTCTGGCCTCAAAGCGCTGAGCCTCATGGCTCAGTTTCAGTGACTGCCGGTCCCCGGCACTTCAATTCAACCTCTTCCCGCCATTTCCCCAGGTCAGGATGGATTCTTGGTCTGCAGGTTTCCGTTCCCCGCTCTCCATTCTTCTCGTCCTTATCCCGATCTGGTCAACCTTGTTCTCGATCTTCCGAGCTTCATACAGGTTTGCTCGATATATCCCTCTGTTGATCTCACGTTTGGGTATGACGACGGTTTTAACCGACGACTCTCACCGCCATCATTTGTGAGCGGAAATTGTAAGTCCCGAGCCCGTTGTCTTCAAGGGTCGATGGCTGGTTGCCACTGCATTAGACAAGGTGCCTAGGGATACCACACCGACGAGAACCGGGTAACACAATTATACACACAGTCAGCTTGCTTTTTGCCTGCGTCAAACCCCAGCATATTACAGTACAGCATGGATGAACCCTGGTCCTCCTGCGTCAAACTGAAAGTTTAACTAAATGGGATCAGCTGGATTGGCATTGCCGATGAGACCCCATGATAAACTTCCGATACAACACATGCAACCCCAGTCCATCAAAGAGCGATCATTTTGATCTTGACAAGCGGGAGCTATCTGGTCTGGAATCTGAGCTGAACGTTCTAACCTCGCAGTATGACTACTTGTCTGTGATGAGATCTCTCAATGTTTCTCGATATCAGTACGACCAAACGTGTGTCTGTGACTGTCATAATCGTGTGGAAGCGTCATATGATACACGATCTCCTATGGGCCATTGTGCTTCATGATGGAGCAGCATCTATGCTACTCCCTGGATCAATAGATGTATCACGGACTCGGAGGCCGAAGAGAAGCTCAGCATCGTCATGATGGCATGAAAGGCGGTGGCCAACAATTACAATGAGCCCTGTTTGAAGGATGAAGCACACGTTTCAATCTAACATTCGTCCAAGGGTCGCGCAAGGCGGGTTGCTTGCCAGTGAGAGACCGGCCATCCTCCGTATGAAGCTGAGGTCATGAGAGGAAGCGCCCCGATGGCCTCATGAGACACTAACAATTCCCCTTCTCAAAAGAGGTGTTTGAGCGATATCCTGTCCCTATTAGATGCGTCGATTGATAGGAATCGACCAGAAATCACTCGCTATTTTCCCAATCATTTGTCCGCCATTTTCTGTAGGCTAACAAGAGACGAGACCCTTGGAGTAGTGACGTCAATCAGCTGAGCAGTTGGATCTTATGACGTCGAACATGCAGGGTCTTTAATGGAACCCACGCCGAGTTCCCCACGAAAGCCTGTCAAGCTCAGAGCTGGATGGCTGGTATTCTTCTCCGGGTAATGCACCTCGACGCCATATTTCTGGCCTTGGTTTTATGCATCCCATCAGCGAATTGTAACGCTATGTGTTGATTATATGTGCGAAAATTAATGCATCCCTTTAATGACGGAAGAGAAGATCTGATTAGCGGCCCCCTCCTCTACCTTAGGGACTTAGCCCTTTGATCCTCGCGCCAAGGTCACCCACTCACTCACTGACAGTCTCACTTCCGGTTCAGATTCAAGCCGCGCCATGACCCAAGTTGTGACCTACTAGTAATATTTGATGATCCCTGGATACGGAGTTCTCCTTTACTCTCTCCTCTTACCGCTTATCACCTGTTTCATTACGTGTTTTATGCAGGCACCTCTTTACATAAAGAAGGATTTATCCCCAACATTCTGCCCCTCCACTATCGATATGCACATCTAGGCAACTCACAACTTCCTGGCTACGTTACATAAACCTTTGTTCTCTTACAACAACGTCAACCTACCAGCCCTTTCACCTCTCAGACACGCAAACAAACCATCGGATAGAGCCTCCATCTTCCGCTCTCACAGGTCTCAACACCCGTACCACTGCTACACATATGGCCTACTACCGCCCGTCCAGACAACAAGCGCGCCCATACGGATATGACGATGACTACGTAGCGCCAGATCCCGGGAGGTCGTATGACCCTTACGATGACCGAAATGCACCTCCTCCCCGCAAAGTCAGAAGAGAGCCGGCAACAGATGCGTCACCTCCCCGCCGCTACAAGACACAAAGAAGTCGCCGCCCTCCGAGTCCTGGCAGGCCAGGGTACCCTGATGATCCTATGATGGATGATCGGAGAGCCGAAGGCCGTCCCCGTCGCAGATATGAGCCGGAGCGTCGTGGACGGAGTGCCGGGCCTGATCGACGAAGCCGAGACATCAGCCCTCCACCCTTCGGACCCCCGCCAGATTCACCTCGCCGAAAGGCTCGCTCAGCTCGTCCCGATCGCGATGCTCATTTCCCCGAGCGAGAATTTCGCCAATCTTCACGCGAGCCTCGCTCAGGGCGGGATCGGGATCGGGAACGGGAGTTACCCATCCGTGGAAAACGGGACGCACGACCTGACAGAGACCCTCGATTCGAGCGCGATGCTCCACCAGTGCATCCTTACGATCGTGATGCATATGCCCGGGAACCAACTTCACGCGCATACCCCGATGATCCTCGAGACCAACGACGGTCCAAGCACCGCGATGCTGAGCCGGAATCGCCTCGGCGCCATGGAAGATCAGTGCCACCGTCACCTCGTTCTAAGTCGCAAGGACGGGGTCGAAAGTCACGATATCCAGACTCCGACTCTGACACGGAGGATGATCATTACGGTGCCAAACTTGGAGCTGCCGGAGCTGGAGCGGGTGCCGCTGCTGCTGCCAGTCGACGACGCCCACGGTCTCAAACAAGAGACCGTCGTGGGCGAGATCCTGCTCGATCTCCAAATCGAGGTCGGCCCCCGACCACACAGAAGAATCGCGGCAGCGGTCCTGCCGGACGTCGCAGCTCCATGCCTGCTAGCACCAAGCCACGCACTGCATGGTGGCAGAACCCCATGGTCCAGGCTGGTGCCCGTACTGCTTTCACAGCTGGTGCTCAAGCTGCGATGAAATCTGGTCATGAATCTGGTCCCTGGCTGGGCCCCAAGGGCGCCAAAGTTGCAACAGCTGCTCTTGGTGCGGCCTTGGTTGATGGCTTCATGGGCCAGAAGCATCCCAACAGTACCAGACAGAAACTGATGAGGCAGGGCGTTGACCTTGCCTCAGCTCAAACCACAAGGGTGCCCGAGCACCATGGCCATAGTCGCAGACGATAATGGCTGACGACGCTGCGTTTATTCTCTTTCATGGTATCTAATACTCGTTTTCACAAAGATTGAAAATTACGTTAAAAACATGCTCAAGCATTGCGGAGGTTACACAATCCAGAGCACTTGTTGACAGGCACTGGATCGGCGCATTGCTATGGAGTTGATGATAGAATGATTATCACAACTGTACGATACTTACGAGACTTATGAGATACCTTCCTGCATTTCAAGAATTGAGATTTACTTTATGCTTCTATCGTGCCCACAACTTAGAGTTTGATGTTTAATGTGATACGAAGAGGTCAGTGACAACACAGCTATGTTACACAAGCATTCTCATTCTAGTCAATTTAAACTCAATATGCTTTAAACGATAGTCCATAACCGAAATATCAACCCAAAACTTCCTCAGAAGAATGATCGAAACGTTACTCGTTTACTCATCGGATGATAACCGTCTTTTCCCAAGAACTCTCGCCATAAACCCCCTTCAGTATGCTAATAGTCTAGGACAAAGTCGAGTTCCACGGTCGACAGCGATTGGCCATGCACATACCGTTGCAGCAAGGTCCTACAGGCTGCCCGCGTGTATCATAGCACTCGCCTATCATTGACCGTCGTCAGATATGCCGGATCACGGGAGTTAGATCTGGTGTACTTACCGACCATAGGAACACAACTGCCGGTGCAGTCGACAGCGGTGATCGCTCGAGGGGAGTTGACGAGGATGTGCTGGGGGCCATCCTTCGTGCTGACTTTGGGGGTCAACTTCGCTTGGCCCTCGATGGCGACGAACCATTGTTCAAGAGCATTGTAGTCTGAATTGTGGATGACATCGACACTGAGATCATGATCTGAAGAAGAGCACATAGGGTAAGCGGCTGAGCGGGATATGCTAATAGAGACGCCTACCAGTCTTGCGAGTACTGCCATCAACAGGGAAAGCAATAGAGTAAGAAGCCAAACCGCCAGGGAAGGTTAGGTGAACAAACTGAGGATCTGATCATTGAAGAACACCCTGAAGAGCAAGAACACCATAGGAGAGAGGAAAGAGGAGAGTCGGAACAAACTTCGTCTTGCTTTATTTTGGATGACGACTGCTTGAACATAGATGTGTTCATGATAATAAGAATAATTGCTCCTGTCTTGATTGCTGAACTACATAACATAGAAAGAGAAAGATGGCCGGGGCGACGCTTCTCCACAGTGATCATGTTACTCTTTCACAGACACATGATTAGATAACGTTTGTCTTTGTTAACTAGTAACTGTGAGCATTTGCGAGATCGTAGAACATGCTGAGCAGCTACCTAGTACAATTGCAGACATCTGGAAGATACTCAGAACAAAGAAACCCGGGTTTTGATCTATACAGTGAATGATCGTGAAAGAAAAGGGCATCTAACAGAAGAGATGGTAGTATAAATTCGGCCTTGCCGCTACCTTTGCTTTACTACCATCAGCACACAAGACCGTCACTACTAACTTACTCAAAACGGAACAACCACAACGACACCAACTCACAGTAACATCCACCTCAACAATATTCTACAATTATGACACGAAGTCTTCGTAACATTGGAAAGCATCGGAAAGGTTCAGCAGACTCTGGATTACCTCCAGAACCGCTATCCTGGCCTTGGCAACCCTGGGCCTCAGTCTGGTGGTCCGCTGTACCCAACCCAGAATGTAATTGATGGGCTTCTTTTTGACCTTCGCATTGCTACGATGCAGGTACGAGGCTTGTCTGCGTTCCAGCCATTCGACGCATGCCACGAGCGCGTGGTATTGTCTCTCACTACGATGGTAATGACCTTGAATGAGAAGGTGTATAAGCTACAGGTGGACATCTGGAACATTGATCCCGTTCGTCGTCTATAGAATTAGGCTATAGGCTATTATATATAGGTGTTATATTAATAGCTATAATTAATATTAGTATATATAATTAGCAGAGGAAGTTAGGGTAAGGAATATACTTAAGTATAATAAATAAACTAAGTATAATATTTTATATTAATAGCCTAGTTATTTTATAAAATTAGCCTTATCTCTTAATAGGTTAAATATTCTTTATAATATTTATATAATCTTTTAAAGAAATTATATAATAAAATTCTTTTTTCTTTAAGCTTTAATATTTAAAAAGTTAAAATACTTATTTAATAATATATAAAATAAAGCTAAAGGTATTAAAGCCCTAGTTTAAACTACTGCTTTTTTATTAATTTTATTAAATTTATTTTTATATATAAGGTTAATTAGTTATATATTATATTATATATATTTAATTAATAGAGCTAGTTATAACTTTAGGTTAATTTAATTTTTATTAACTAATTTATATAAAAGTTAACCTAATTTCTTTAATTCTAACTTTAATAGAATTTTTAAACCCTGCCTTTACTTTATATTTATCTTTACTTTTATATAAAAGGGAGGATATAAAGTACCTATTTGGCCTTAATAATTATATTTTTAAACTACTCTTTATATTAGGCTAAGTTTAGGCCTATAAATATAATAAAAAAAGCTGCCTCTTTTACCTTAAGAGACTAGCCTTATTATAGGGCTTTTTCTAGCTTCTTTAATTTAAATAGCTTCTAATTAGCTAGGTTAGAGATATTATATTACCTAGGTAATCTAGATTTATATAACTAATTAAGCTAATTAGGCTATATTTAAAAATAGCTATCCTAATTAGGCTTAATTTGCCCCTTAAAGAGAAGTTTATCTTAATAGCTTTAGTTATCTTATATAATATATAGTAATTTTTACCTTTAGCTTACTTTAATACTAGTTTAATTATATTAATAAGATTATAATTAGTTATATAATAGCCTTAATTAGGCTATAGGCTATTATATATAAATATTATATTAGTAGTTATAATTAATATTAGTAAGTATAACTAGAAGAGAGGAAGTTAGTTTAGAAAATATACTTAGGAAGTATAATAAATAAACTAGGCATAGTATATTTTAAAGGTTATTTAAAGACTAGTCCTTTAGGTAAGATAAAGGAAGAAGGGTAACCTAACTACTAAGAGGCCTGCAGCTAGTATTAATACTACTTAGTTAAGGTAGTAATTATACTATTAAGGCAGATAAACCTTATATAATTTTAAATTTTATAATAATAGCCTATTATAGGGGTCTTATTATTTAAGCCATTATAGAAAAGTTAAAAAGCTTAAGGGCCTTATATAAGGCTAATAGTAAGGGGAAAAAAAAATATTAAAAAATATAATAACCTTAATATTAAATCTTAGTAGATTTTATAATTATTATTTTAAACCTTAAGATTTAATTAAATAAGTAGCCTTAATTTATAAATATAAAAAAGATATTTTTCTTATTCTTAGAAGGCTAAATATCCTCTTTATTATTACCTTATTAAGGTAATTATTACTAAGGCTTTAATATTAAAAGGCTATATTAAAATAAGCTAAGAACCTTAACTTTTATTATAAGAAAGGGCTATTATAAGGTAAAGGAGGAGAAATAAGAGGGAAAAAGGAGAAAAAAGGTAAATTAAGAAAAAAAGGTTTTAGTATTTAAGGAAAAACTATAAATATTAATAAACAAAGGCTAACTTAATAAGTTAATAATAAATTAAATTAAGTTATAAGATAATATAATAAGAGAAATATAAGTTAAGGATAAATATAATTAAATAATACTTAGGTTTTATTATTTATAAAAAATATTAATTATTAATAATAATAATTAACCTAGCTAATATAGTTAATAAGTAAGTAACCTAGTTAAATAAGTAACCTAAAAATCCCTATTAATTTTATTATATAGATAATAAGATTACTATAACCTATCTAATTAATTAAAACTACTTATTATATTCTTCTCTTAAGGCCTAAATATCCTCCTAATAGGTCCTTATATTATACCTAGTCTTACTATAGATACTATAATGCCTAATACCTAGTCTAATTAACCTTTCTTAATTACTACTTCTTAATAATTTGGCTATTACCTATATATTAATATCTATTAGATTAATTACTTAAGATGCTTATTATATTATTATTATCCCTTCTTTCTATAGTTTTATCCTTTTTGCCTTTTAGCACTAGCTTAGTATCTTATTTACTTATTAAAGTTCTTTATTCTTAGCTGCTAATAAGACTACCTTATATATAACTGCCTTAGCCTCTTTAAAAAGATAATTAAGGGTATTAAGAATTAACTTTAGAGAGTTATTATAATATCTTTTAATTTATCTAATAATATATTTAGATTAAGATTTAGTTTCTTATATTATATTTAAGGTCCTTAAAGCCTAAGGGGTTAAAGGTTAGCTAACCTCCTTAGGAGAAGTTAGAGTTTATAGCTATATATTAAGCTTTAAGATTATAGCTTCTAGGTTAAAAGGAATAATTCTAGCTCCTTTAAATTCCCCTTAGATATTACTTTCTATAAAAGTAACCTTAAAAGTAATATAAAAGGCTAAAAAGAACTTAGTCTTAGAAATATAGGTTATAAAGTATCTAATTAGATGCTTTATTTCTTAATTATAAGCCTTTTTTAGTATTATAAAGTACCTAATATTAAGAGGCTAGAGTAAATAGGATATATAAGTAGGTATATAGAGTATAATAATCTTATGCTCCTAATAATATCTCTTAAAATTAGCAGAGTAGTAGTTTTTATAATTATTAAGGATTAAGAGATAATAAGGATTAGTTAATTTATTAGTTATAAATTAATTAAAATGCTTTAGCTACTTAAGACCTAGCTTATTATTTATTTACCTATTTTAACTTATTATAATAACCTAATTAGGTAGAAGGTTATTTTCTTAGTATTAATTAGTAAGATAATATTAGCCTAAATTAATAATAAATAATATAATTACTTAGCCTTTTATATTAATTACCTAAATTACTATAATTTATTTTTAATTTCTAGGCTATATTAATTTTAATTTTCCTTGCCTTTCTAAGCCTATAATTATAATTCTAGCTATTATAAGGCCTATTATAAAGCTAGTCTTATTAAAGTTCTAGATATTATCTAATTAGATATTATACTTTATAATTATATTTTATATAAGCCTAAACTAGCTATAAATAATAATTAGATCTTTATATTTAGCTCTCTAGTAATTATATCTCTAAAAGATATATATCTTTAGCTCTAGTTATTATTTAATAAAGTTATAAGCTTAGTACTTACTAATAGGTAGCTTATTATAATTTATAAGCAGGGAATTAGCTATTTCTTTTATAGAATATAATTATAAAAGGAATCCTTATAAATCTAAGTTAAGAATAAATTAAATTATAATTTATTTCTTTAGATTAGATAATTTCTAAGAATTTAAGATAGAATTATATTATACTTATATACTATTATAGCAGTATTATAATATATAGTAATATACCTTATATATAGTTACTACCTATTATATACTTAGTTTTAGATTATTTTAAAGGGCCTAAAGGGCAAAAAGGATTCTAACTTTATTTAAAGACTATAATATATTAGGTAATTAAAAATTAATTAATTAGATAGTTTAAATATAAGATAAGGGATTTTTAGGTCACTTACTTAACTAGGTTACTTACTTATTAACTATATTATAGCTATTTAATCTTAGTAATTAATAATTATATAATTAATCTTTTAATAGATATTAATAGGCTTAAGTTTAAGTATATTCTTATTTTATATTTCTTTTTATAATATTATAAAATTATAAGAAATTACTTATTATATATTAATAAATTACTATTAATATACTAAGTTAATTTAATAATCTTTAGTTATTAAATATAACTTCTTAGTATTAAGAAATATATATCTTTTATTAAATATATTATAGGCTAAATAAAGGTATTAAAAGACCTAGCTAATTACTTAAAATAGGGTTAAGATATATTAAGATAATAATAGGCCTTTATTAATAGTATT